GAGGACATGCTCAACATTTTCAAAAAAACGCAACTCTATCTCAATTTGGAAAAATCTGATTTTTGGAGAGACAACGCCATCAATCGTGGGCATCAGTTGTCTGCTGCAGGCATTGAGCCTGAGGCAACCAAGGTTAATAGTATATGCAACTGACCTCAACCGATGAATATAGGTGAATTGCGTTCTTTTCCTAGCCTTGCATCACACTATCGAAAATTTGTGCCTATATTTTCTATTATCGCTCGCCCATTGTCCAAACTAACAAGCAAGAAAGTACCTTACATATGGGATGAAGTGTGTGAGACTGCCTTTCAAGCCTTGAAAGAGGCCCTGTTGAGTTATCCTGTACTCTGCATTGCAGATCCCAAACTGACATTCGTAGTCACTACAAATGCGAGCTAATATGGGATTGGCGCAATGCTGCAACAAGATGATGGTGATGGTTTGCATCCGCTTGAATACTATAGCAAATGCATGCCAAGTGAAAAGGTAGTTACTTCCACGTACATGTGCAAGCTTTATACTTTGCGTATGACATTGGACCACTAGGAGCACTATTTTTTGGGACGCCACTTTGAAGTCTTCTCAGATCATGAGACTTTAAAGTGAATCAAGAACTATCTTATCCACTACATTGACCCGCCGATTGCATGCGATTAATACTTTTAATTTTGAATTGAAGCACAAGAAGGGCTATTACAATCGAGTTGCTGATGCATTGTCTCGCCACCCTGAGTATATGACTTGCCTTGTATCCTATGACCTCCGAAAGAATTTGAAGGAGGAACTGGTAAAGCAAACTGCCAAGGATCCAGATCTTGGTCCAATCCTTGAGCAACTTAAGGCTGAGAGCAACTTAAGGATGACCCCAACAATCAGCCTGATTTCCACAAGTGTGAAGGTCTAGTTTTTCGACGCTATGGAAAGATTGACCGTTTGTTTGTACCCAACCATGAGCCTCTCCACACACTTCTTGGATTTGGCTCACGGTCGAAGTGTACACTTCGGAATTGCAAAAACCTACGGAAACCTGATGCAGTAGTTTGACAGACCTAGTATGAAAGGATCTGCTGAGAAGTTTGTGGCTAACTGTCAAGTTTGTCAACGAATCAAACCATCGAGGCAAAAGCCCATGAGGCTGCTCAAACCTCTTCCCATTCCCGACGGTCCCGGAGAGTCCATCTCTATCGACTTCACGGACATGGGAAACATCAGTAAGAATAAATATTCACAAGTGATGGTGGTTGTTGGCTGTTTTTCCAAATTCCTAAATCTGATTCCAATTCCACTTCATGCCCCCACTGCCCTTGTGATCCGTGAGTTCCACCAGAAGTACATTATGCAATACGGGACCCAGAAACCCCTGGTGAGTGACCAGGAGCCACGCCTCATAAGTACTGATTGGAAGGACTTCACGTCCCAACTCCCTAACCTCAAACTAAAGATGACATCTGGTCGACACCCCAAAACCTACAGATTGGCTGAGGAGATCAACCAGACTGTGTTTCAACTTCTCTATGCCTTAATCATTCCGGATCAGGAAACGTGGGATGAAGAGTTGTTTTCAGTCAAGAGGCTGTACAACAACTCCATTCATTCTTCCACCGACATGACGCCAAACAAGCTGCATTCGGTTGGAAGATCCGTAATCCGCTCTCTTGTTTATTCCCTGAACAGCCGGCTGGTCTGATGCCTAGCAGGCCTGGCTTTAACGTTAAGCATGATCGCTTGCTCAAAGTTGCCAGTGCAACAATGACCAAACAACAACACGCCATGATCCATCATGCAAATAAGAAGCGGAAACCAACGACTATCGAAGTGGGAAGTTGTCTGGGTCAAGATGTCTGAATTTTCGGAAGAAGAGGGGGTATCACACACAGTTTTCCCTCTCTATTATGGTCTGTAGGAAGTTCTAGATGTGATTGGCGAGGATAAGTTCGGTCCATACGTAATTGTCGTGCCTCCTCATCTGCACACGTACCCAGTCTTTCACGCATCTAAGTTGTATCCATATCTTGATGCTAAATCCTTCAAATACCGTGAGGATATGATCCTTCGTGCAATTAAAGGCGGTCACGAGATAGATAGGATGTACAACATACTGGTGAGGGGCGTAAGAAACCGTATCAGGTTCACTTCATATATCAGCCATTGGATGATCTCTATTGGATCTCAAAGAAGGAACTGCTGCGCAACGCACCTCGCGTTGTTAGAGCATAGAACGACAGATTGTCTCTGGTGATGTTCCAAAATTCTCTGCAAAACTCACTGGTACCGAGTATTCACAGAACCTCTTCGCTATCTATGCTTACCATGTGTTTGGCGGGACTCAGATTGGGTTACTGGCTCGAAGGGACCTCGCTCTTGAGGAGGGGGCAGTGTAAGGACCTGCCAAACACGGACTGACACACACAACGGATTTATAAGCTTTGTCAATGGAACGTATGACTTGCTGAGTTTCCCGCTTGTTGCTGAGTTTTCTAAGTCTGTGTGTGTGCGTGCTTGCTGGTCTGAGTGCTTGTCGGCTTGAGTGCGTGTGTGACCCGCAAGGGTACTGGTTCGTTCGGGAGGCCGGAAGGGCCGGTACTTACCTGTCGCCGTGCCTTTGAGGGTTGCAACGGGGAAAACACTCAAGTGGCGGGAGTAGGCCCACCGCACTTGGAGCAGGAAAAACACTCAAGTAGCAGGTGGTCCGGTACCACACCAAGTAGCGGTAGATGTGCCGGGTACTCGAGGCCGAGCAGAAGAAGACAAAATTGGCATTTTAAGAGGCCCAGTAGTTGTAGGCTAGGTCTAGGTGGGTACCAGTCCACGTAGTCTGAGTCTAGGGCCTGTATGGGCAATATCAAAGCCTGCAATGATGTTTCCCTCTGAAAGGGAGGAGGTACCGGTTGCTTGGAGGCCGCGCGGCCTGGAAGTCACTGCACAAGAGGCAAGTGGGCCGCTATGTCTCCAGGAGGAGCGAAGTGCTCCTCCTCATTTGCTGCATGCAAGTTTGGCGACATGCTGCTGAAGTGCTGGCAGGAGCAGCGCTGTGGGGAAGAAGGGCGCCTAGCTCCCCACCTTGGCTATGGTGAAGGAGGAAGAAGGAACAAGAGAGGGGAGCGGCAGGGGTACTTACCTGGCTATGGTGGACTCCATCGTCATCACCTTGGTGGGTGCTGCAGCTGGAAGACCCCCGTTGGGGTAGAGCGACATCAAGAATCTTCGAGGCAGAGTCAGGCATGGCGGCCTGAGAGGAGCAGCCATAGCTGCTTTGAGTTGCTTTTTTGCACGTCAGGGCAATACCCTAGTAGTCCGCCATAGACTCAGCCTTCATGAAGAGGAAGAAGAAGGGTGGCCATGGCTATGGCGGACCTCATGTTGTGCCTGGAGTAGAAGAGGGATTTGGACATTGATTCTGGTTCGGCCATTCACTATTATTATTATTATTATTATTATTATTATTATTATTATTTATTGTTTGAATAAATGGGGAGGAGAAAAGGAGGAAGAGTTTGGTTGACCAGAAGAAGGGATTGTCATTGGTCTTTGCTGGTGTACATCGTCTTCTTCTTCTTCTTCTTCTTCTTCTTCTTCTTCTTCTTCTTCTTCTTTCCCTCTCTCTCCTCTCAAGTTCACTCTTTTATTTTTGCAATTGGAAACATTGTGCTTTCTCGTGAGTTTGTACTTCAAAATTGGCCAGGATCGTAACAAATGCCTAGAAAAAGGCCTAAGTTCAAGGGGTATTAGGGCCTGGGTCAAAAACAGCATCCAGTGCCCCCACGTGAGGTAGTTGACTCTTGGGGAGTCTTGGGAAATCAAGAGTCAGACCAAGCATGGGAAAAGGAGGCCCAAAGTCGAAGTGAACTCAGTAGTCAGCCTCGGCCATAGATCAGATGCACATCGGTGGTCCTCTGCAGCTCTCTGGAAGATTCCAGTCCCCACTGGAAAAAGGTACTGCTGCTGCATTGCTGCATCCAGGCCGTCAAGATCGGCCAAATCTGGAGCATCCATATCATCACAGGGGAGACTGGTCCACGCCAGCCAACACTGGTCAATGCTACAAAAGGACGGTCAGACACCGGGGAAGGCATTCTGCCTTGCGCTGGCTTGATGCTAGTGCTGTGTTGCCAGGCTGCTGGAGTTGGATGCTCGCACCAGATGCTGCTGGTGGGAGGCAGCCTAGAGGAAGATTATGCTAACGCGGCCATAGCTGCATGGATGTAGACAGGGTGACGAGGATTGGTGAGGAGGAGGAGGAGGATCAGGGCTGTGAGACTGACAGGAGATGTGGGGAAGCTTACCTGGACTTACCTGGCGACATCACATGTGATCTGCTGTTGTCTCCACGAAGGTAAGGAAGTGCTGCGCCATCCTCTACATCTGATTGCTGACGTGGAGGGAGGATGGGCGCCCTGTTATGATCTGCACAAGTGATTATGTCAGAGGACGTCAGAGAAACATACATTGCTGATGTGGCAATAGGGGAGAAGCCCGAAGTGGGAGAGGGAGAGAGAGGGAAAGATGCATGCACCATTGATTATCATTGTGACTCTCCTCCTCTCTCTTCTCTGTCTCTTCTCTCCTCTGTCTTACCTCTTATGCTCTTCTTTGACGAGACGAGACTCTTGAGTTGTGCATATGATCGAGACCTGGGCTTGTAATTGATATTGGAGATTCCATAAGGCGTGCTCGGTTCAGAGTACTATTGCATTGTTGACTGGCTTCTCAACGAGACTGGGTTCATTACACAAATAATAATAATATCATTTTACGAAAATGATGACCACCACATTGATATGAGAGTAGCAGAGTACAATACTCCTGTTTTTTTTTTGTTCTTTTTTTTTTTTTAACAATGCTTTGTAACTTTACATGCAATAAGGATTGATGCAAAAAGAAACCAGAAATAATACTCATGAACAAATCACAGTATGTACTTGGCTTTCATGTCGAGGTACATACATGGTGCAAATAAATAGTAGTGGTCATGTAAAGCGGCCCATCTCTTGCAATTGGTGGTGAAGTGTTCGACTACATGCTCGATACAACTGGCAATAAGTGCAAGGGAGGTTGCTGACAGTGTGAAGTAATCAACGAGACGAGACGAGACGAGACGAGACGAGACGAGACGAGACGAGACGAGACGAGACAAGACGAGACGAGACGAGACGAGACGAGACGAGACGAGACGAGACGAGACGACTATGATAACCAAAAGAAAATGAGAGAAGTCCCATACTTTATCTAGTCAAGCACCAATCCGCAACGGTTAAGGTTACAAAGAAGGGTACAAAGGATTTTGATGAGGGACTGTGGATAAGGCTGCGACATGCAGTTACTGAGTCCGTACAAGGATTATGGATACGACTGCAACCACCATGGATCTAAAATTGTGGATAAGATGAATATGGATAAGAGTATAAAATAATGGATAAGGCCGTAGGACAATGGGTAAGGCTCATAATAGTATCATCTATAAGGCTGCTGTAATGAGATTCTGTGTGGATGGCGAGAGAACCTGTAGCTTCCATGTATGTATACATCCGTGATGACAGTAAATGAACCTAATTATTTATGGATAAGGCTACAACCTAACTATTTCTGGCTAAAGCTATCGCCTCACTATTTTTGGATAAGGCTACACCCTAGCCCTTTCCGGATAAGGCTATGACAGTAATTAATCAAGAGGATAAAGTACGTTGAAATTGGATAAACTTAAACAAAAAGGGACTGGCCACAACTGCAGGCTCTGTATCAAGCACCAAATGGTTTCTGTGTGTATTCGCATTTGCTTCTTCCCCCCCCTCCCTCCTTTCTTTCTTTTCTTTTCCAGTAGGGTTTTCGCATGTTGATGTGCCATGCAACAGCACATGGAAGGTTCGTACGCCTGAAAACTATGTATGCATTTCACGTCATGGCCAAGCATGACAAATCTCTCACAATAATATTAGATTATAAGATAGGAAAAACCGAACGAAGTGAAAAGACTGGTCCAAAACCTTAAAATGCCCACCTCTTCAGGTAGTGGTCCATGGAAACTACCAAAACCAACCACCTCTCTTCTCTGCGCTAATGCTCAATGGAAAACTACTTACGCTCCTATGTGGCAGTGACTGATGAAAACTAGTCAAACCACCTCCTCCTCCCAGGTGATTGCCCCAGTACCACAAGCAAGCACTGGTGGCTGTCTGCCATAAGCATTGATGACTACAAATGCATTCTCTCTCTCTCTCTCTCTCTCTCTCTCTCTCTCTCTCTCTCTCTCTCTCTCTCTCTCTCTCTCTCTCTCTCTCTCTC